TACCTTAGTGGTGGTAGGGGAGGTGGAAATTTTAGTGGTGGTAGGGAGGTGGGGGTACCTTAGTGGTGGTAGGGAGGTGGGGGGTACCTTAGTGTGGTAGGGAGGGGGGCAATTTTAGTGGTGGTAGGAGGTGTGGGTACCTAGTGGTGGTAGGAGGTGGGCACCTTAGTGGTGGTGGAGGTGTGGGTACCTAGTGGTAGGGAGGTGGGGGCACCTTAGTGGTGGTAGGAGGTGGGGGCACCTTAGTGGTGGTAGGGGAGGTGGGGTACCTTAGTGGTGGTAGGAGGTGGGGTACCTTTAGTGGTGGTAGGGAGGGGGTACCTTTAGTAGGTAGGAGGTGTGGGTACCTTAGTGGTGGTAGGGAGGTGGGGGTACCTTAGTGGTGGGTAGGAGGTGTGGGAAACCTTAGTGGTGGTAGGAGGTGTGGGTACCTTAGTGGTGGTAGGAGGTAAAATTTTATGGTGGTAGGGAGGGGGGGCACTAGTGGTGGTAGGAGGTGAGGGCACCAGTGGTAGGAGGGGTACCTTAGTGGTGGTAGGAGGTGGGGGTACCTAGTGGTGGTAGGGAGGTGGGGGGCACCTTAGTGGTGGTAGGAGGTGGGGTACCTTAGTGGTGGTAGGGAGGTGGGGTACCTTTTAGTGGGTGGGTAGGAGGTGTGGGGTACCTTTTTAGTGGTGGTAGGAGGTGGGGGTCACCTTAGTGGTGGTAGGGGAGGTGGGGGTACCTTAGTGGTGGTAGGAGGGGGATACCTTAGTGGTGGTAGGAGGTGGGGGCATGGGGGTGGTAGGGAGGTGTGGGTACCTTAGTGGTGGTAGGAGGGGGGGTACCTTAGTGTGGTAGGGAGGTAACTTTAGTGTGGGGGAGGTGGGGGGTACTTAGTGGTGGTAGGAGGTGGGGGCACCTTATGGTGGTAGGAGGTGGGGGTACCTTAGTGGTGGTGGTGGGAGGTGGGGGCACCTTAGTGGTGGTAGGAGGTGGGGGTACCTTAGTGGTAGGGAGGTGGGGTACCTTAGTGGTGTAGGAGGTGGGGGCACCTTAGTGGTGGGGAGGTGGGGGTACCAGTGGTGGTAGGAGGTGGGGGTACCTTAGTGGTGGTAGGAGGTGGGCACCTAGTGGTGGTAGGAGGTGGGGCACCTTAGTGGTGGTAGGAGGTGAGGCTCCTTTAGTGGTGGTAGGAGGGGGGTACATTTTAGTGGTGGTAGGAGGTGGGTACCTTTTAGTGGTGGTAGAGGTGGGGCACTTAGGTGGTAGGAGGTGGGGTACCTTAGTGGTGGTAGGAGGTGGGGTACCTTAGTGGTGGTAGGGAGGTGGGGCACTTTAGTGGTGGTAGGGAGGTGGGGGTACTTTAGGTGGTGGGTAGGGAGGTGGGGTACCTTAGTGGTGGTAGGGAGGTGGGGGTACTTTTATGGTGGTAGGAGGTGGGGGTACTTAGTGGTGGTAGGGAGGTGGGGGTACCTTAGTGGTGGTAGGGAGTGTGGGGCACTCTTAGTGGTGGTAGGGAGGTGGGGGTACCTAGTGGTGGTAGGGAGGTGGGGGTACCTTAGTGGTGGTAGGGAGGTGGGTACCTTAGTGGTGGTAGGAGGTGGGGGGTACCTTAGTGGTGGGGGAGGTGGGGGGTACCTTAGTGGTGGTAGGAAGGTGTGGGGTACCTTAGTGGTGGTAGGAGGTGGGGGGTACCTTAGTGGTAGGGAGGTGGAATTTTAGTGGTGGTGGTAGGGAGGTGTGGGTACCTTTAGTGGTGGTAGGAGGTGGAATTCTTAGTGGTAGGGGAGGTGGGGGCACCTAGTGGTGTAGGGAGGTGGGGGTAATTTTGGGTGGTGGTAGGAGGTTTAGGGAGGTGGGGTACCTTAGTGGTGGTAGGGAGGTGGGGGGCACTATGGGTGGTAGGAGGTGGGGGCACTAGTGGTGGTAGGGAGGTGGGGGTACCTTAGGTGGGGAGGTGGGGTACCTTTAGTGGTAGGAGGTGGGGGTACCTTAGTGGTGGTAGGAGGGGGCACCTTAGTGGTAGGGGAGGTGGGGGGCACTTTAGTGGTGGTAGGGAGGTGGGGGGGCACCTTTAGTGGTGGTAGGAGGTGAGGGTACCTTAGTGGTGGTAGGGAGGTGAGGGCACTTTAGTGGTGTAGGAGGTGGGGGTACTTTAGTGGTGGTAGGGAGGTGGGGGCACTTAGTGGTGGTAGGGGAGGTGGGGGCACCTTAGTGGTGGTAGGGGGTGGGGGTACCTTAGTGGTGGTAGGGAGGTAAATTTTAGTGGTGGTAGGGAGGTGGGGGTACCTTAGTGGTAGTAGGGGAGGTGGGGTACCTTAGTGGTGGTAGGAGGTGGGGGCACTTAGTGGTGGTAGGGAGGTGGGGTACTTAGTGGTGGTAGGGAGGTGGGGGTACCTTAGTGGTGGTAGGGGGGTGGGGGGTACCTTAGTGGTGGTAGGGAGGTGGGGGTACCTTAGTGGTGGTAGGAGGTGTGGGTACCTTTAGTGGTGTAGGAGGTGTGGGTACCTTAGTGGTGGTAGGGAGGTGGGGCAATTTTATGGTGGTAGGAGGTGGGGGCACTTTAGTGGGTAGTAGAGGTAAATTAGTGGTGGTAGGGAGGTGGGGGTACCTTAGTGGTGGTAGGGAGGTGGTACCCTTTGTGGTGGTAGGAGGTGGGGTACCTAGTGGTGTAGAGGAGGGGGCACCTTAGTGGTGGTAGGAGGTGGGGGGCACCTTAGTGGTAGGAGGTGGGGGCACATTTTAGTGGTGGTAGGGAGGTGGGGGGCACCTTTTAGTGGTGGTAGGAGTGTGGGGGTACTTTTAGTGGTGGTAGGAGGTGGGGTGTGTGGTGTAGGGAGGGGTAATTTTAGTGGTGGTAGGGGTGGGGGCACTTTAGTGGTAGGGGAGGTGGGGGTACTTTAGGTGGTAGGGAGTGTGGGTACCTTAGTGGTGGTAGGAGGTGGGGTACTTTAGTGGTAGGGGAGGTAGAATTTTAGTGGTGGTAGGGAGGTGGGGTACCTTAGTGGTGGTAGGAGGTGGGGGCACTTAGTGGTGGTAGGGAGGTGGGGGTACCTTAGTGGTAGGAGGTGGGCAATTTTAGTGGTAGTAGGGAGGTGGGGGTACCTTAGTGGTGGTAGGAGGTGGGGGCACTTTTAGTGTGTAGGGAGGTGGGGGTAACTTAGTGGTGGTAGGAGGTGGGCACTTCAGTGGTGGTAGGAGGTGGGGGCACTTAGTGGTGGTAGGAGGTGGGGGCACTTTAGTGGTGGTAGGGAGGTGGGGGGTACTTTAGTGGTGGTAGGAGGTGGGGGGCACCTTTAGTGGTGGTAGGAGTGGGGGTACCTTAGTGGTGGTAGGGAGGGGGCACCTTAGTGGTGGTAGGGGAGGTGGGGGATACCTAGTGGTGGTAGGAGGTGGATACTTTAGTGGTGGTAGGAGGTGGGGATACTTTTAGTGGTAGGAGGTGATACCTTTGGTAGTAGGAGGATACTTGTGGTGGGAGGTGGACTGTGGGAGCACTTTAGTGGTGGTAGGAGTGTGGGGATACTTAGTGGTGGTAGGAGGGGATACCTTAGTGGTAGGAGGTGGGGGGTACTCTTATGGTAGGGAGGTGGGGGATACTTTAGTGGTGGCAGGAGGTGGGGGATACTTTTAGTGGTAGGAGGTGATACTTAGTGGTGGAGGTAGTGGTGGTGAGGAGTGACACTTAGTAGGAGGTGATACTAGTGGTGGTAGGAGGTGGGGCACTTAGGTGGTGGAGGAGTGGATACTTAGTGGTAGGAGGTGGGGATACCTTAGTGGTGGTAGGAGGTGGGGATACTAGGTAGTAGGAGGTGATACTTAGTGGTAGGAGGTATACTTAGTGGTAGGAGGGGTACTTTAGTGGTAGGAGGTGTGGGGGACATTTGTGGTGGTAGGGAGGTGGGGGGATACCTTAGTGGTGGTGGTAGGAGTGTGATACTTATGGTGGTGATGTGGATACTTTAGTGGTGGTAGGGAGGTACTAGGTAGGGGGATACTTAGTGTGGTAGGAGG